CCCCCCCCCCCGCACGCACCAGCACCATCTCCAACAACAGCATCTGAGTCACTCCTGCTTTCCCCTGTCCCCGTAACAACAGGAAAAAAAAGATTTTGAGGTACCTGGGAGCACTGCGCGCTGCATTTTGGTTTAATCCCAAGCAGCTGGGTGGGTGTGAGAAGAGCTGAGCAAGCATCTCTGCTGCTGCTACCCTTGTTGCTCCAGCCTCGGGCTCTGCAAGTTTGCAAAAGTCCCAGTGCGCAGCCCATTCCTGCATTCCAACCACCCAGGCTGAGCTGCAGCTGTCCCTCTCTCGCCAGTGCCATCTCCAATAACAGCAGCAGCAGCAGCGGGAACCATGGAAGTTATGGAGGCGGCTCCCCCACCTGAGAAGCGGCTGAAACATTTCCATGGTTCCCACTGCTGCTGCTGCTGTTGTTAGAGACAGTGCTGGTGAGAGAGGGACAGCTGCAGCTCGGCCTGGGTGCTTGGAATGCAGAAACAGGCTGTGCACCAGGACTTTTGAAAACTTGCAGAGCCCGAGGCTGGAGCACCAAGGGTAGCAGTAGCAGAGACACTCACTTGGCTCTTCTCATGCCCACCCAGCCGCTCGGGATTAAACCAAAATGCAGTGTGCGGCGCTCCCAGGTACCTCAAAATGTTTTCTTTTTCCTGTTGTTACGGGGACAGGGGAAAAGTGGGAGTGACTCAGATGCTGTTGTTGGAGATGGCGCTGGCAAGAGAGGCACCAGCACCGGTGGGAACTGTGGAAGCTATGGAGGCCTGAGAAGCAGCTGAAACACTGCTGGACATCCACACCGATGATGCCCGCCTGCTGACCTGGGAAAGGGAGGAGTAAGGGAGCCCTCTGTGCTCCACCATGATTGGCTGTTAGGAGCAGCTGATGGTGATGTGTAGCTGCCCATGGGGCACTTGTAATGGCAAGTTCCCCCTCCTGCCTTCCCCCCAATTTTGCATGTTTTAAATTAGGCCTAAATTTGGGGGGGAGGGGCTTAATTTCATTTTATCCCTAGAAAACATGCTGGGTCTTCCTATGGGGGGGCATATTTTTGGAGAAACACGGTAGATGCCGACCTATCAACTCTTGATTGGCACATTCTGTTCTCTAACTGTAATACTACAAATGCATTCTTACTTGAACTTGAAAGAGTCATTAAACTATATGTACCATTAGTAACAAAAAACAAAAAACAAATTACCCATAACAATAAGAAAACTCCAATAAAAAAACAAAACACTATGGCATTAAAACCAAAACTAGCTATGTAGCAAACTTTAAAAACCGATACAACACCTTATGCTGACAGATAAAGGCAGAATGTCCAAATTATTACTGCAAACAGGAGGAAGACCTCCTATGTACAAAATCTACCCACACCTTCTACAATTTTGTAAACACCAAACTTAAAGACTCAAGAACCAACCCATTTCTAAAGGGACCAAATGGGAAAGACTGCAGCAACAAAGCTGTTAAGGCCAACCTCTTCAACACATTCTTCAGCTCAGTCTTTGTTAATAGCAATGGATCATGCCCCACATTTTCTAGTCATAATACAACTAACTGCAATGATCTAATATATATTGACTTTACAGAAGATAACGTAGAAAAGGCATTACGTAATCTAAAACCATCCCTATCTATTGGCCCCAATGGATCATGTGCATACTTTTAAAAAAGCTTTCCTCTGCCATAGCAGAACCCCTAAGCATTATATATGATATATCATTCAGAACCAACTCCTTACTGAACCTATGGTCCTTAGCTATCCCTATCTTCAAAAAAAGTGACCCCAGCCTGGTTGAAAACTGCAGAGCAATCTCACTGTGTTGTGTCATGTGCAAAGTCATGGAATCAATCATTAACCAATTCACCATCCTTCACTTAGAGTCAAACAACCTACTCTCCTAAAAACAATTTGGTTTCAGGAAAAAATTGTCCTGCAATCTTCAACTCCTATACTGCAAAAACATATGGACTACTCTACTTGACCAGGGTAAAGCTATAGATGCAATTTACACAGACTTCCGCAAAGCCTTTGATTCAGTGGTACATGACAAACCACTGTTAAAATTAAACTCTTATGGCATTTCCGGATCCCT